GCGCTGCCGGGGAGGGCCGGCCCCGGCCCCGGCCCCGCACGCCCACCCACACGCGCCCCTGCGCCCGCACAGCTCCGCTCCTCTCCTCCGCCTTGGGAGTGGCCCGTGCTGGCCCCTGCCCTGCCCCGGAGCCCGCCTCTGAGGCGGCGGCTGCAAACGCAGGCCGGGCGCGGGCCGGAGTTCTTGCTCAGCTCCGAACTCCCTTCCAGAGTCAGCCGGTTGATGCGGGGCTGAGCCTCATTTGGGGCACCTGTGAGCACCCGGTCAGCCCTCACCTTGACCACGCTGTATCCCCTACCCCTCCAACAAAACCAAACCCCAGCCTTGTGGAGGGGAAGAGCCCAGAGGGAGGCTTTAGGGCTTCCTTCCCACATAGTGACCCCGCCTAGGCCTCGGTTTCCGTGGACAACGTGGACAGCGACGCCCAGGGCCGGCCTGAGCCCTGTGCCTGCCAGGGCTGGGCAGGGAATGAGTGAGCCGTCAGCGCAGGTGGTCGGCCAGCACTGAGTGTGGTTGGTATGGAGGGTCTTTGGAGTGAAGACCATGGCTGAGATTCGTATTTCCCTTGAGGAGTTCTGGGGTTTCTAGTTCTAAATTAACCTCATGGTGTGTGAGGCTGAGAAGCAGCAAGCTGCTCTGATCCCTCTGGCCCTGCTGAGGCTTGGAGTTCAGGAAGCTGTGCCCTCCTGCTGTCAGGGGAGTTTGGCTGACCTCAGGACTGGCCGCCAGAGCCCTGATCAGGCAGCAGCGGGGGGCCAGGGACGGCCTGTAACCGCCTGTCTTCCTTCTGGTTGGTAGCGTTTCTGGGGACCACCAGCTGGCTGAGGCTCAGGTTCAGAGACGGCCGCTCCAGCTAAAGGTCAGTTGTGGTGTCCATTGCCTGTCTGCACCGTCTAGGGGGTGGCCCTCACTCCCCGAGCCCCAGAGAGCTCGTGGGCCCTGGGCACTCCCACCTCTCCCCACGAGGCAGGACTGTTCTCCTTATGTGACTAGGCACAAGTTCCGAGTGGGGAGGGGACTGGCTCGGCATCCGGAGCCAGAACAGGAATAGAACTGGGAGCCGAGCCGGCAGTGCTGGGACTCTGGCTCTGCATCGACACAGCCAGCATGCCTATGATTTCTGTGCTGGGCAAAATGTTTCTGTGGCAGCGTGAAGGGCCTGGAGGACGGTGGACTTGTCAGACAAGTCGCAGAGGTGAGACCAGGCTGGGAGACGCGACCTGGGCGAGGAAGAGAAGCAGTTAGGGCGCTCGGGCACTTTGGTCTGGCTGTTGAGAATTAGGCTGAATAGGGGTCGGGCTGGGCCAGAGGGCAGAGGAAAAGGGTTTCGTGACAATCTGGAGAATTCATGGGTTTGCAGAAAAGAGTAAAGAGCTGTGGACCAGCTGAGGCTGGCGAGAGGAAGAGCCAGGACAGCAGGAGGGAAGGCAGGCAGAGGCCTGCAGGGGTCTGGGGTGGCGGGGAGGGGGCAGTGCTGGTGCAAGAATTCAGTGTGCTTTCCCAGAGGTGGGCCAAGGGGCTGGCAGCAGGGTCAGGCTTTACCCGCCCAGGGGCTTCTGATGGTGGAATGTGTCCACAGCAGGGAGGTGGCCTATGGGTTGCCACGAAATGGCCCAAGGGGCTGAGGGTCGGGGCTGTGGGAGAGGGGCTTTCAGAGTTGAGAGCACCCACCGGTGGTTGTCCGTAGCCTTGGAGGTTGGGGAGGGGTGAGGAGAAATGCGGAGACAGTGGATGAAAACTGGGGTGGCCACAGAAGTGGGGGCCCACCTGAACAGCCTTTCCCCCACCCCTCAGTGTCCTCGGACCCTGCCTGGGCTGTGGAGTGGATCGAACTTCCTCGGGGCCTTTCTCTGTCCTCCTTGGGATCTGCTCGGACCCTCCGAGGCTGGGGCCGGTCCTCCCGCCCTTCCTCCGTCGGCAGCCAGGACTTGCCAGAGGTGCTGGGCCCCTGGTGTTGGTGGGGGCAAGGGAGGCCGCATCCACACATGGGGGCCTGCATCTCCCACCCCCGCCCTGCCAGCCTGCTTCTGGCTCCCTCTTCCTGCGAGCGGAGGCGCTATCCGGCCGGCGGGCCGCAAGGCCGCCCCCGCGCCGGTCTGTTCTGCTCGGCGCCGCGCCAGCGGGCGGGCTCGCTCGAGCCTCCAGCGCTGACGTCAGCGCATCCCGGGCCGTATCCCGGGAGACCCTGTTGCATGGTGATGGGTTGCCAGGGAGACTTACACCTTTTCTCAGAGCCCGGGCCGCAGCTGCGCGGAGCGCCAGCAGGGATGGTGGCGGCCGGGGGGAGCAAGGGGAGGGACGGAGAGCGAACCAGGAAACACCCAGCAGGTGCTCCTCCCCTCTGGCCTGGCCGGAGGCTACCGGCGCCACCCTGGGGGCTCTGCCAGCCAGGTACTGGGGGGAGGGACCGTGGGTGGCCGAGGTCAGGGGCAGACACCGGCTGGCTTGGGAGCTTGGGAGGGTGGGAACGTGATAGAGGAGGTCTAGGCAATGCCGGGGAGGGGCGTGTGCCTGCGACTTCATTCATTGCCAGGCTTCCTGGGCCTGGTGCAGGGTGGAAATAGGACCCAGGTGGACCGGACTCAGAACCTACTATCCCAGCTCCCTCGGGAGAAAGAAGGGCAGTGCTGGGGCGGCATGTCCAAGAAAACAGTGGCACTGGGCTGAAGCGGTTAGGAAGTGACCCTTGAGCAGGCCTTCCCTGGCAGGGAGCATTTTGCCAGGCAAGAATGGCCTTCTTAGCCCGGAGGAGAGCTCAGTCCCTTTCTTAGATGCAGAAGGGCTGTCTGCCGACAGCAGGTGGGCACATGGGCTTTCATGGGGCAGAGGAGCTCCGTGGTAGTTTTGAGGAGGCCTGGAAGTAGTCAGAGCCCCGCGGGGCAGGGTTCTGTGCCTGGGTGTGAAGCCCACACTAACTTCACTGGCCCGTGGAGAGCCCAGAGGTTTCCAATAGTGACATGCTATGTGGCCAGTTACACTCCAGGAAAGTGGTTTGTCTACATTCATACCTTACCTCATTCATTCACCCTGTACTTTTTTTATTATTATTATTAAGTTTTTACTTATTTACTTATTTAAATTTGGCCAGACAGGGACAGAGGGAGAGAGAGTGGGGGTCTGGGACTCGAACCTTGGCTGGCCATGTGGGAGTCCAGTGCCCTTAACCACCACACTGCCTGCTAGACCCTGGGTCACAGCAGTGACCAGAGAGACCAAATTCCTTAAAGAGCTCAGGACAGTGAGGGAGACCAACAGGACAGGTGACTGGGGCAGGGCACTGGCCGGTGCGTCGTAGGCGGTGACTGGTCAGAGACCGCCGAGGGAAGACGGGCTGCTAGTAGAGTGTCCGGGAAGGCTCTGAGATGGTGGTATTTTGGCCCAAACTGGAAGGGTGAGAAAAAGCCAGGCAGCCATGGGAGGAGAGGAAGAGGGAACACGTTCACACATCCCAGCCTGGGCTAGAAAGAGGGCACGAGCTGGAGGAGGGGGACACCCCTGGTGCTCATCTGGATGGGGCCCTGCGGGCCTGGGCAGAGGCAGTGGCAGTGGGGATGGCGAGGGTGCGTCGGGCGGTTGGGAGGTTAGCAGTCGTGGGCACGCAGCGTGGGGGAGAGCTGAAGGTAATGCCGGGGCGCAGGGCCAGGCTGCATGGAAAGTAGGAGGGAGGCGGAGAGGAAAGGAGCCTGGAAGCAGGGCCAGAGCCAGGTGGGGGAGAAGGGGTTGGGTTTGGGCTGGGTGATTCTGGTGCGTGGCTGAGGAAGAGCAAGACTGTGGACCTGGAGATGGGGGAGGAGGGGGACTTTAAAGAGGTCCCTGATGGCATCCCCTTCTCCCTCTCTGTAGAGGCCCCACCCCATGGTTCTTCACTTCCTGACCTGCCTCCTTCCCTGTGGGAGCTGGAAAGGTCGAGGTGGGCTGCGGTTCTGCTCCTTGGGCCTGCCCGTCTCCAGTAACCCCTGGGAGGACAGTTTGCTGGTCCTAACTTCTCTCTCTCCTTTCTGAATTTGCTTTGGGGAGTGTGCACTTGCTGGAGAGAGACAGAGTGAAAGTGAGAGAGCACCCACCAGGAGGGATGACTGTGCTGCAATCCCTTCTCCGCCGTTATCCTCTCAGGATTTCAGGGCTATACACACATGTGCATGGCATGGTCTTTGGACCTCTGGGCCAGGGATTCGAACCACAGTCAGCTGTGTGGGATCCGGCCACCTTAACCACCATACCTCCTCGCTGGCTCAGGTCTTAGCTTCTTTCTTGCTTATTTTGTGCAGCAGCCACTCTGGCATCTCCTTGCACTCCTGTTTCCTCCTGACACCATGGGTGGGGTATGGATATGTGTGAAGGGGGAAGGGAGGGCACTGACCTGATGGTGTCACCCAAGGTGAATGTTGGAGACACAGTCGCGATGCTGCCCAAGTCCCGGAGAGCCCTAACCATCCAGGAGATTGCAGCGCTGGCCAGATCCTCCCTGCACGGTATGCACCTGCTCCACCCCACGCCTGGACTTTGTCCGTCCCCTCCCTTTTGTGTGCATGTTCTTGGGGACTGTTTCCTGTGCGTGCGTCCTTGCTGCGCTTCCCTCATCTTCCCCTTTTCAGGTGAACCCCTTCCCTTCGCTCTGCCTACCTAAAGGCTCACGTGGATCCCATCTACCTTCACCCTGCCCACTTCCCTGCCCAGTTGCTCCCTAGGCTGTGTCCTTACCAGTCTTCTCCAATCTCCCCGCCTCCAGGTATTTCCCAGGTGGTGAAGGACCACGTGACCAAACCTACCGCCATGGCCCAGGGCCGAGTAGCCCACCTCATTGAATGGAAAGGCTGGAGCAAGCCGAGCGACTCGCCAGCAGCCCTGGAATCAGCTTTCTCCTCCTATTCGGACCTCAGTGAGGGCGAACAAGAGGCTCGCTTTGCAGCAGGTGGGTGGCAGGAGGGGCTCAGCCACACACTCAGGGACACATTGTCTCATCTTGGGTCTGGCTTGGGGCTGGACTCCCTGTACTCCTTTCTCTTCCCCACCTGTCTCCAAGTGGAGCCCCAGCCTTCACTGCCCTCCTCCACTCAGGAGCTTTGTGTCTCCCCAGGAGTGGCTGAGCAGTTCGCCATCGCAGAAGCCAAGCTCCGGGCATGGTCTTCAGTAGATGGTGAGGACTCCACCGACGAATCCTATGATGAGGACTTTGCTGGAGGAGCTGACGCAGGTGAGTACCATCCCGTGCTGGTACTGCCTGCTGGCCTGCCTGGTAGGCCTCGCGATCGATTCAGAACCACACCTAGAAAACCCGCAGCCTTTGGAAGGGGAGGGAGCAGTCCTTGACACGCAGGGGCAGGAGGCTGTCCACACTCACGGCTGGGATGTCAGCGGCTCCTTTCCTGCAGGGGTCGAGCCACCTCTGCTTGTCTGTGCAATCGGCCGTGAGGGCCTCCAGGAACACAATGCCCAGGGCGCTCAGTGACACCTTCTGTGCAATAGATCTCTGGGAGGTCGGGAGTGCCTTGCCTGTTCCTCTGAGGCAGCCTTCTAGCTGGCCACGGCTGGACAGATGAGCTGCAGGGCAGCAGCCTGGCACCTCACAGGGTAAGGCCCCAGACAGACAGGAAGTCCTGCTGGGCTTGGAACCCCACCCGGGCGGTCCTGGCTGCAACTCAGCATCCCTGCTTTCCAGCCTGTGGGCTTTTCTCCGGGCTGGGGCCTGCAGAGGGGGCCCTGCAGGGCTGTGCAGCTGTGCTCAGTCCTTTCATCTTCCAGTCTCTAGATCACGCGGCTGACTTTCTCTGTAGCTGTGGGCTCAAGCCTCACAGGCCTCCATTCCCCCCTCAACCTCCCTGCCTTTGAAGATTGCCTCTACCTGCCCCACCCCTCCAGCTAATTACCAAGTCCGCCCAGGCAGGCAGGCAGACAGGCTCTACACCAGAGCGGTCAGAGACTCTGCTGTGGTTCAGAGAGACTGGATGCCTGTGGCCAGGACGGACCCTAACCTACAAGCATTTTTGTTTGGTTGAGTTCCAGGCTGGCTTTGACCCCTGGGATAATGATAATAACTAACATTTATCCAAGGCCTCCTAGCTCATGTGGAATGTTTGTGCACGTTAGCAAACGGCATCCCCTTCCCTGGCGGTACAGCCTCATGCCAGGACATGCTGGGTGGTGAGCCGTGTGGGCTGACGCCCCACTTGCTGTCGGAGACAGACTCCCCCTGTGCAGTAAACAAGCTGCACGACCGTGCCTGGGCCCACATGCATTGTTCGCTTGCCGCGCACCAGACCCTCATTCTTTCAACAGCCCCAGAGGTAAGTATTCGGACAGTGCCCGACTTGCCAGTAAGGAAACTGAAGCATTAAAAAGTTGCAGCTTGGGACCAGCAGTTAGCGTGATGGCTACGTCGCTGAACTCCCATGTAGCTGACCACGGTTTGAGTCCTGGACCCGGTGGCTTAAACTCACGCCGGGCACGTGTGCGTGCGTGCCCAAGATCCTGAGAGGAGAATGGAGGAGAAGAGATTGTGGTGTGGCCATCCCCCCTGGGGGGTGATTTCTTGCTTTCTATCTCCCGTCTCTGTCTTTCTGGTGAGCGCACGTGCCCTATAGCAAAAACCTAAAAAAAAAAAAAAAGAAAAAAAGTTGCAGCTTGCCCAAGGTTACTGGTCCACCACCACCCTGAGTTGTGCCAGGGTGGAGCAGGGGTGGGACAGATGCGTATGGCTTCCAGGCTGGCCCCCTGGAGTGGGGCCAGCAAGCTGT